TAACTAACCATTAATTATTGAAACTTTAAAGATTGGGATTTAGAATAGACGGCTTGTACACCCTGGGGTGTTATCATGCTGGCTGCAACGATGGGGGGACATTTTTCTTTTGTTGTGGTCATCTAATCACCGGACAAATGATTTAAACTTCAAAAAGGTTTGTTATTTATTTTGAAAAAAAAAAAAAATGAAATTCAATGTCCGAGATACATGGTGATACTTCACTGTGAAGTCAGAAAGGAGCCATGATTGTTTAGATGGTTGTTATTTCGCCTGTTTAAGCAATTTATTCATCTGGTTGCAAATTTATGACTCTCCAAGAAGGTCTTGGTAGTCCTGTCTTCGGAGACATTCTTGGAAACACGCTTGAAGGCAATTTGAAGATCAGCTTTGTTGTTGTTGTGTGTTATTGTATTATTACTTAAACTAATTAGAGGGACTTTTCTCATAAAATTGCAGGGTAATTTTTTTTCTTTATTTTGTGCTCTAAATATAGTTTCCTTCTTTTTGATGTTTTTTGCTTTATTATTAATCCAAATTCATCTTTGTTTATCTAGTGGAGGCAGTTTGCCGATGTCGTAAGGAACATTTGCTCAAGCTACAGGTTGACAGAAATCCATGGAAAAATAATTGAAGAGTCGGTAAATACATACCGTGATACATAGTACGTTTATTGAGATTCCCTTTACGGGGCTCTTTCAGTCACAATGGGCTAACTATTTAACAAGTAACTACTAGATACAAGAAAGAATTATTAAAATAGTCAACTAATATTAAGTTCTAAAATGATGATCGTCATTTTAAGAACATATTTATAAGTCTCTTCTTAAAAATTCGGCAATCTGCTACTTCCGTCATGTCTTTGGGAAGTTTGTTCAAACAAATAGGCCCACTTTTTTGTATCGTGTATTTCTGACGTGATGAACTTGTCTACGTGTAAATTTTTCACTAAGGCAGTCTGGTGCTCGACCATTTAGACACTTATAGACCATAAAAGAATCTTTTCAAAGTAGTTTATCAACAATGGGAAGCCATCGGCTAAGTGACTTCAATCCCTCAGAGATGTGATCATACTTTCGGAGACCAAGAACTATCCTGCCAGCAAAGTTCTGAACTAATTGCATTTTTTTACGTTTGTTTTAGAGGTATTGCTCCATACGGTGGGACAATAAAACAATTTACTGAAAACAAAAGAATGAATTAGTAAAAGTGGCGTCTTTGGAAAGATGTGTCCTAAGCAAAGTTTTATAAACAAAAAAATTTTCCCCATTCGAATTAATTTGTACGGGCAAACTGTTCGGCAGCTTTGCTATCGCAGGCAAAACGGTAAAAGTCTAGACATGGGAACCCCAAGTCTGGTTTAGCCTCTTTCCAGTCTCTCCCGTGGGTCCAAATCAGCCACACATGTCTAGAAAACTGGACTGTATTGGCCCTTAAGATAGTTACAGTTTATCCAAAAACTGAGTACTGTATACTACTCAACCCATATTGGGGGCTAACAGGTCATTTTTATTTAAAATGTTTTACTCCGTGTCGGTCAGTACTTTGACAAGCACCAGATGGTGAAACAACCCTTTAGTGCAAAATAGTTGTTCATCAGGCCCCAGTTGTTCAAAAGATGGATAGCGCTATCCGATGGATAAATCTCTATTCAGTGGATAACGCAACTGGTTTCGCTCATACTTATCCGCCGGATAGAGATTTATCCGGTGGATAGCGAGATCCTGCTTTTGAACAACCGGCGCTAGTTCTGTATGATTTTACCTTCTACCTTGGGAAATTATTTGGTCTAGTGACTGTACTTAAAATAAGAAGGTCGTGATTCGTACAAGTTTTTCTTTCATGATTACAAAGCTGGTCTTTTCAAAACAATCTATTTCCGAGCAAAAGCTATGCAACGAGCAAAAAGCCAGTTAGTCTGAATTGTTTCTTATAATAATTCTATGAAATTTTCTTTTCTCACAGAAACGTGTTTTGTTTAATGCCTCAAGTCAGGCAGGATGAGTTGAATTAAATAATTGGCGTCTTCGTGCTGCCAACAAACCCATAAAAAAGTCGAAGAATTCACAAATAGTCAGCAGGCTACAACCAAGGAATAATCCCATGTTGCCTCCAATCTCACCTGAAAAAGAAATAGTAATTTTGATAAATATTGAGAATATTATTTGACAGGTAGTGCAACTGGAAATGGAGATGAGTGGAGGATGAGATAACATTAGGTTAAGCTTGACTACTAGAATAAATATGAAGAGTGGTTAGGTTTTTCCTTACGCTGAGCTTCGAAAACAGATTAAAATGAAGATGGTTTTACCAAACAATGAATTGCTGTCATAAGCTGGTTGCTGTTCCTGCATCTCGTAACTCAATGACTTGAATCCCACTTGCAGAAGCACGAGATTATCCCTGAAAAAAAAAAACATTGTCTAATTCATGAGGTAAAAACTAAAGGCTATGATGCGAGCTGCGTTTATATGATTCCCCGCAAATTAAAAATGTCTCTAACCGGTCCTATACTGCTTGCGCGCACATCTCAGATGGATAACATTTGTCATCTTGGTCCATTACCTTTGGTACTGTATGTTAGGGTAGTAACCAGTCGTCATAAGGGATTCTGCAGTGCCAGGATCTGGAAACTTGGAATACGACACCTCTGTAGTATACTTAGTCTGGGAGCAAGGAACTTGGCATCCGCAGAACTCCTCGTCTAACACAGCTACATAGTCAAAGATAAAGGTTGGTCAATTCTACTGTTGTTATATTTAAATGTAACATAAGATATGTAATTTTATCTTTTGAACAATAAAGACACTTTATTTATTCTATTTATTTACTGTGACGGTATAATTCTCGCTGCCACTACATTTGGTCTAGAATATGTTCACTCAGCTATGGGAGAGTCGAAAGGCTGGCAAATACTGGCTTATTGACGATTTTTTACATCTAACGAACGAGATTAACTTGCACGTTTTGAAAGAAGGAAAACACGTGAGCTCCTGAACACTCTGTTTCGAGGTCGAACTCAAGCATGAACTCTCGTATCGCTTTTTTAATCATTTTCTGGATCTGGCTTTTGCAAGTGTAAATGCAGTTTGGGCAAGCGCTGTTATTGCTTGTAAATAATGTTCAATAACATTACTTTCAATAGCTTACACAATCATGTACTTTATTGTGCTTCTAAAAGAACAGTTTGAGTCAAACAATATCTTGAAACATTTCCCGCCTGTATATGTTCTCCTAGTCAATGCCCTAACTCACCATCTACTTGGGAAACACAACTTCGTTCTGTTGTTGATCCACAAGTATGAGCTTGGGGAGCACCTTATGATAAGGATAATACACAAAATAAACAGCAGCTTTTTTAAGTAAAGAGTGTAGAAATATGTAGAATTAATCATAGGGCCAAATAAATATCATGTGCATGCATGTGATAGTATAGCTTTGATTTATTTCAAAAGGTATAACAAAGACTGAGGTCCTGTCCACAGTTTTGCTTTCGAAACAAACAAACAAACAAACAAACAAAATGAAACAACAACAACAAAAAAAAACAAAAGCAAAAACCAACGTTGGTGGAAAAGTCCCTAAACAGTACTCAGTTCGGGCTAAATGGGCCGGACAGTTTTTATTGCAATTTGATTGGTTGGCCAAACTCACAAGTCCAAAATCTTATTAGCCAGGTAAAGACGATCACCTGCTTTTTCAAAAAGCGCCACACGAGATGCGTGGAATTTGCTTAGATCCAGTACACAATGGGTATGATTTGAGGCTCAGTCTACCGCTAGGGCTATGGAAATTTGATTAAAAAAGAGGTTTTTCGTAGAAAGTGCGAAAACAAAGCCATCAGCTTCGAAGGACCTGATATTGATTTGCAAATATTTGGAATCCAGGGGAAAATAATAATATCATTATACCTCTGTATCCGGCAGGTCTACACCCGCACGTTTTGATCGTGTTTTCAGCTCCACACTCATACATGCATCCTTCAGATGTATACGTTTTGAACGTTTTTAATGTTCTCGTGCTGCAGTTAGTATGATATGGCTTCTCCAAGTTCTTAAACTGAAAAAATATGTTGTGTTAATAAGGTTTACAAAATGGATTTGGAGCTAGAGATCTGTTTTTTCTTGCGTCCGCGAAGTCGTGTTTTTCTTTTAATGAGAATAGCGAAGACATGGATCGTTTCTCAAGGAAAATACTGTTGAGCAGGGCTAACTATTAAAATAAATAATTGGAAGTTCATGGCATTCAATTTCTTAATGAATTTATCAAGATTTAACATCGGACCCTATCACGTTGCTTGCCTGATCAAGCCAAACGTTTCTTCTTGCCTTCTCTCTTCAGCTCAAGTGTTTTAATGAGTACATGGTGGAAATCGATATAACAAACCTCTATATAACGAAGTCGTCGGTATAACGAACTTTTTTGATATAACGAAACCTCCTTAGAGCGAACATATTTTGCCAGTCCCTTAGCCCTTCGTTATATCAAGGTTCCACTGTATAGGGGACGTTGTTGTTGGTGACCCTGTGATGAATTAACGTCCCCTCCCACCCCCTCCTGTCACTCATGCTACTGAAACCAGGATAAGCTTCGGGTCGTTCATTCTATTTTGTCTTCAGGACTAATACGGGCAGTCACCAGCATTTTTTTGGTCTGCAGTTTACTAATTCACTACTTAAAACGGCATAAGATCATTGAACAAAAAAAAAAAAAAAAAAAAAA